AGTCGATGTCTTGGCTCAACTACAACGCAGTTGAGATGAACATCTCTCCGGTTGTAGAAAAATACGATTTCTTCAGGCCTTCGCTGGGTCTGAACGGAGAGAGTGACATTGGGCCAAACATGATACACATCGGACCTCAATCCCCCCCAAGCCCAAATCGCGCCTCTGAGACGGGGTTTCAGAATATTGTTAGCGATTTTACGCATCTGGACACGGGGCCTGCTGTCGAATTCGGAGAAGTCAACATGCTTGAAGCACAGGACTTATACCAGGAATCGCTCGAACGATTGGCAAGACTCAACATGGACGTGAGCCAGCAACTCAAGCTCGAGACCAGCAGCGATACCCCGCCCAATGAGCACAACGCAACGCTGGTATCTCCATCAGAGCCAGCGCTCCCAATAGCCCAGGTAATTCGTGGGCTTCAAGAATTTCAAGATCTGCTCCAAAATTTCGTCAACTTCCAGAGTGCAAGATCCATATATGAACTAAACTCCGACAACCCACGGCCGAATATGCGGGGAACCGCGATGAGTGAACAAACCCCTTCGGGAAGCTCTCATTCGTTGGTTGCGCTATCAATATCTCCATCTTCTTCCGATGAGTCTCTGTTGCCTATTATGATTAACGTCTCTCGAAGCGGTGAGAGTAGCACAAGACAAACGCGACGGCACCAGATAGATATTGCGGCATCGCTTTCCATGCTCATGTGTTACATTAATCTCATTCGTCTCTGTCGAACTGTTTTCTCTAATATTTGTCACTGTCTCGTTGCACTGAATCAAAAAGCCATATCTACCGCCCTTTCGGATATACGGATTAGCGGTGTATCACTGCAGGGGGATCAGAACCTTCAAATTCTAGTCCTAGTACAGGTGGTTGTGCGCATGCTTGATTGCATTGGGAATATGCTAGGACGTACGGGTCTCAGCAGTAGCGGACAGAAAAACGAAGAAAAAGGGTTACACCCACTCATTTTGCCGAGGTTGATGGAGACAGTGATGAGCGAAGAAGAAACGAATAGACAAGGTGCACGAGCTGGCGGTATAAAGGCGTTGAGAGAGGATATCCGCAAGTTGAAAAGAGTCCTTAATAGTACATAAATGCTTGGAAAGAAAGCATCCACACCGAGACGTGTTTCGTTATATTTTATTCCGGTTGTTTTCTTTGTCGAATAATGGCCAGATTGCAAGAGAACCAAGTACCTCGTGTTGGCTTTCAGGGGCTGACCATGAATAATCACATTTCACTCAGGGCAAGTAGAGCAAATACCCATATGGATTAATTTGGGACCAGACCTTGGTGCTTAAAGCTCTACGGTGCAATGTTACCTGTAGGTCTTGCTCTCCGTTATGGTAGATTCAACTGTAGGCAGCCGGCTCTGGCAATCGGACGACCATCGCGACTTCGGTGAAGTAGAGAGGAGAAGCGGTGTCATGTCTCGAATAATTACTGCGCGTTTCGGAGCTAGAATCAAGTTGTAAGAAAGCTTCCCGAGTCGCATGTCCGACAACTTCAGCAGCCCAATGTTGGGTCAAAACTCTTTCGGTGGATCGGAAGAAATGAGAGCAGATATTCGCACTGTTAGGCCTGTGCACCCGATAGCTTGCGGATTCGGCTCGCGTTTGGGACTCGGTGATCCGAAAACAAAGAAATTCGTTTAAGTATCCATAACGTAACCCTCGCTCTGGGATACCTTAGCACTAACTTCTCGGGTACACTTCACGTGTAACAAATGTAATGAAGAGGATCAAAGATAACCGAGGGATATTTGTTACCGAAAACGCTCTGAATGTCGCACGTCATCGGTTCACAAGCATATGTGTGTGTGTGTATATATATATAGCGCACAAGCTGCAGGTTTCCCCAAAACTGGCGTTAAAATAAGGTAGGTCTCGAGTGAAATACGCAAGCTGGTCGTTTGTTTGACGTTGATCTCAAGCATTCATAGGGGAAGGGGAATGTCATGTACGGAGGGACAAACTTCATTTCGGATACAACATTGCAGCTCCAGCAAACGTCCCTTTACTGATATTTCGCTAGTGCTGGGTATGAGGTCAAATTGAACTATGGCGCGGGAAGTGCTCCCCAAATCTGACTGGTGTATTGCAGCCAAACTGGAGAATGGTGCCGGGACGGAGTGAGATCCTTGATGCTGGCAAGGATCGTCGACGCTGCGCATTTGAGCTGGTCAATTTTCGTGGCATAAAGATTGGGATTGGACTATCCGCGCTCTGTCCTGCACACCAAGCTAACGAAAGATGTTGGGTTTAAGTTCTGGTTTGTTGCTTGATTGATCGACGGCGATGAGCGATAGCCTTGAGATGAGGTTCCAACGTTACCTAGAAGCCCAGCTTACCGGCGTTGAGTTGTTCCGTTGGCCGACGTTTTAGGGCCGAGAAAAGACGCTGAAGGCATTGTGGGCGCTCTCGTCAGCGAACTCTCACTCCTCGATGCCACTGCTGGCACCCTACATGTCCCATTTGCCCATCGCACAATCGCAAGTTAATCCGTTATAACCATAATTAAAACTGTTGCTTGGAGATAGTTACCCTTAACTAGGTGCTCACCACAGAGTGCATTAGTTATATAGCCTCATGATGCTCCCTCGTGCGTTGAAAGGCCCGCTGCACCCCAGTGTGTCTTCCACTGCACCACTCAGCTCGACTTGTTTCAACAATAAACCACTTTGCGGTATATTCTCAGAGTTCTATTTGATGCTGAATATTTGAGTATCCGCTTCAGTGATAGTTGTTGGGCTTTCTCGCTGCGATTGACCCAGTAACGTGCATCCAGGCTGTCTCGGTATGGTCATCCTTCACTTTAATGGGATGTTTCCGTATAATGACGTTCATACAATCCGGGAAGCAATCTCATAAGCTCCCGGTGCAGTTTTCCCTTGTCAGTTTTCTCGAAAGAGCATGCCTGGGCTAGTTTTTAAATTACTAGCAGCCCTTCTAAACCATCTGAGATACGGCATTTAAGAAGATAGGTGTTCTTTTTGGGCATCTTTGAGGCATATATTACTCTCCTTTTCTCTATATTTTACTCTATTTTCGTTAGTTGAGGCAATTTAAGCCGTTACCTGGTGCCATGTATTTCAAATATTTACTGTCTGTAGCTACAGCGATATTTTCCGACGTCGCAAGTGGCCAAAAGTCGGTTTTCGCCCATTTTATTGTATGATGGGCCTCCCAGCTTGAAAAATAAAATGATTTCTTATTTCTAATGTCACGGAGGTCAGAAATGCCGCCTATATGACATTGGATGAATGGAATTCCGATATCAAACTAGCAAAGAAGGCGGGCATTCATGGTATTATTTTCAATATTGCACGGCAAGATGATTATACAAACACTGTAGTGCGGAAGGTGCACGAAGCCGCTAGTGAATTGGGAGATTTCACTTTGTTACTGTCATTCGATTATCTTTCCGGCGGCCCATGGCCATCGGATCGCATTATCGAGTTGATCGATACTTACCCCGTATAACTAGTTCCAGTACAGCAACAAACCATTAGCATGGACATTCGAGAGACCAGATAATGTCAGCGACTGGCCATCCATTAAGAATTCCACCAACTGCCTCTTCGTACCATCTTGGACAAGGCTTGGGCACAAGGAATTATACACTTCCCGGACGCTGTCGACGGAGCATTCAGTTGGGAGGCTTGGCCTGTTGGAGCAAACTCGAAACCACTCATAATTCTGACCAAGAGTCGACGAGAACCCTTGGTAATCGGCGATGTATAACTAATGCCGGCTTTAATTTGGTTCTACACCAATCTTCCTCAATGCCCAAAAAAAAAAAAAAAATAAAAATAAAAATAAAAAAATGAAGCTGAGTGTGGCGTGGCGACGTTAGTCCAAGTAAGTCCTCTTTGTATATATCAACCAGATTGGCTTCAACTAGCAGTGTTATTTGGTTATTACGTGGAACGACTACTCCGTATATTGAATCTCATTACTCCGTATATTGGTCCGATCTACTCCGTACCCCGTACCAGAATGGTGTTCCAAAAGGTGCTGAATGGCATGTCCGCTCTCATCAACACCAATCCACACCAAGGTTAGCGGCTTCTACCTTATGATACCGATCGATACAAATCAGGAAAATCAACCACAAATACCGCCGATAGTAAAGACATCATCTTTTGCTGGTATCGCCGCAACTCTTTTAATTCTGTGAGTGTGGACGGAACTATAGGAATTAATCCTGCAATTGGCCAGCCAGTGCTAGAGCCAGGTCTGGTCTCCCAAGTTAATGTCTTTGTATCCGTTCTAGCTTTGGAACCCAGAGACGGCAGCATTCAAATCGGTAAACCAACCCCTACAAAGCTCAAGGCAAATGTTGCTGGCGTCAATGACTTCAACGTCAATTTTGATGGCAAGCTCGGCCATGTGAACATTGTTGTGTCAACGGCTGGGCGAGAAGTATCTCGTGCTACTGGGGTCGAAATTTTCACCGAACCTTTCGAGGGAAACGTGGATTGAAATGCTGTTGCTAGTTCAAGCCTTGATGCGGAGATGTAGGGTTACTCTGGGTGGAAGACAGACGGGGGATTGTCCCTGATGATCTCGTGTTGATCAGGAGTACGGGCCACTTGACAACATACGGGAACAATAAAACACTCCATCAGTGCCCCTTTAGGCTCTTTTGAACAATGAAAATGACAAAAATGCGAAGTATATGAGCATAAATCACGTGGGGGTCGTGATTAATTCTTGACCTGAAGGGAAATAATAACATTAGAAAAGGAACGCGGTGGTTGTTCGTGTTCAATACTTCGATTCGTTTGATACCGACGGAGTGAATAGTCGTAGCTGACGGGCGCGCAGCTGGTTGTGGGTTTCTCTGGCAACCAGGAATGCCAGTGGATGGATTTAACTTCCCCACAGTTCTGGTTAGCATGGGGAACCAACCTTGAAACCCAACCCCGGAACGCGACCTTTGACCAAACCGGACTACCACAGTTCTCATCCAAAGTACCCCTCAGTAACCTCTTCTCAGAACACTTTCGATATCGACTCCGTAAGCGGCCATCGGGAAGCTCTCAATCGAAGCCATGACGAAGAAACTGCTCTCTCGCACATCCGAGATTAGTCTCTCCCATCGTCCATCCCCCGCCGAGCAATGCCGTCATCGATCGGAGGACAAAGCTTCCTCCGCCATCGTACCGGAAGCATATACCAAACCCTACTGTGATTTCATGACCGATAACCCGACCATTTTCCACGCTGTCGCGACATTTACCCGCCGTCTCGACGATCACGGTTTCAGCCGGCTGTCGGAGCGCGACGTCTGGACGTCAAAGCTGAAGCAGGGAGGGAAATACTACTGCACTAGAAATGACAGCGCTTTGATCGCATTCATCGTCGGTCGTGATTATGAGTCTGGGAATGGAGTCGGGGTAGTAGCAGGACACATCGACGCCCTCTGCGCTAAACTCAAGCCTGTGTCTAAGCTACCCACGAAGGCCGGCTTTGTCCAGCTTGGAGTCGCACCGTATGCGGGTGCGTTAAGCTCTACGTGGTGGGATCGTGATTTGGGAATTGGTGGACGCGTGCTGGTTCAGAACCCTAGTACTGGCGTTGTAGAGTCAAAGCTGGTCAAGTTGGGCTGGCCGATTGCCAGGGTGCCAACTCTCGCGGTACACTTTGGTGCTCCGTCGCAGGGTCCATTTAACCCTGAGACGCAATCAGTCCCGGTGATCGGATTGGACAATTCGGATATCCTTGGCCAGGATGCCAATGCTGCTGATAGCGGGATTAAACCAGGAACGTTTGCCGCTACGCAGCCGGAACGTTTGGTTAGGGCGATTGCTAAAGAGTTGGGCGTTTCTGATTACAGCACGATCATAAATTGGGAGCTCGAGCTGTTTGATATCCAAGCCGCCCAAGTTGGTGGCTTGGATAAGGAATTCATCTTTGCTGGTCGAATCGACGATAAGCTGTGCAGCTATAGTGCCTTCGAAGCTCTCTTGGCCTCATCGGAAAAGTCCTCAACCGGGATTGTCAAGATGGTGGGGATGTTCGATAATGAGGAGATTGGCAGTTTACTCAGACAGGGTGCCCGATCAAACTATATGAGCAGTGTTATCGAGCGGATCGTCGAAGCTTTTGCTCCGAATTACGGACCGAATCTCCTATCCCAAACCTTTGCAAACAGCTTCCTTGTTTCTTCTGATGTTATTCATGCCGTTAACCCGAATTTCCTGAACGTATATCTGGAGAATCATGCCCCACGTCTTAATATCGGTGTTGCTATTTCAGCGGATCCAAATGGGCATATGACAACCGACAGCGTTAGCACCGCTCTTCTCCAGCGAGTTGCAGAGAAGTGTGGTTCTAGACTTCAAGTCTTCCAAATCAGAAATGATAGCCGTAGTGGAGGCACCATCGGTCCTATGACAAGTGCGCGAACGGGAATGAGAGCTATTGACTGCGGTATCCCACAGCTGAGCATGCACAGTATTAGGGCCACTACAGGAAGCTTGGATCCTGGACTCGGCGTGAAATTATTTACGGGCTTTTTCGATCATTTTGAGGAAGTTGATAAAGAGTTCCGACAGCTCTAGGCAGAGATGGATTGATAATTGGGCAAAGGTCTTGAACGGGGTTTCTTTTCGGTTATGAGCACTTCTTGGTTGGTTCAAACGATCACATGCATTCTCCTTACTGGTAGTATAGATATTAATTGGGGCAGCATTCTTGTAAGCACCTATCGATAATTGCGCAGAATTTGCTGTTACATTAATAGCTATATCATCCAATATATGGGTCCATTGAAATGTAGTAGTGGTTGCTATAGGATACAGTGTTACTCTTGCGGCGATAATTCAGTCGTTAACAGGGAGCAATGCTTCTGTATGGCGAGTGGTAATGCCAAATACGGAGGCCACTAAGGATTTGTGTGGACTCGCGAAAAAGCCAGCGTCGTAATGGGGTGTAGGCCATCACTGGGAATGTAGGCCGTCGGCAAGAATATTTCACTTCAGAGTCAGGAGTATTTAACATGGGAAAAAAGGGGAAGGCAGAATAGAATTATTTGCCAAAAAGCACTAACTTAGGCTCCCATTTATAATACTAGAAACCTCTTTCAAGGCCTTCCGGGGCTACAAGGGGAAAAGGGGAGCGGGATTTCTCCGTAATGATCGTGAGATTCAAAAGTGTTCTTGAGCTCGCTGCTCCGCATCACAGCAGGAAGAGGTTCGTGCCAAGACTGGCTGATAAGCTTAGCACACGGGCCACCACAAATAATTTCTTATCAGCGGTCGTTTCTCCAGGCTGATATCTGAGATTCGAGACGCTTCCCTGTCGTGAAAGAGAGGTGCTATGAGTTTGCAAACACTGCAGAGCACCATGACAGAGCCCACTGAAACTTCTGCACCGCCAAAACCGGTCCACACCATTGTTCTCGATGCCGGGCCACTTATCAAGAACATCCCACCCATATCCACCCTCCTCGCACAGTCCCACGTCCTCCTCACGACCCCAGCGGTTGTTTCCGAAATTCGTGACCCGGATGCCCGCCAGAGAGTAGAAACATTATACCTACCTTTCGTCGAGCGAAGGTCACCCAAACCCGAAAATCTGAAAGTTGTCTCTGAATTTGCAAGGAAGACTGGCGATCGGGAGGTGCTAAGTCGGACAGATTTGGAGATTTTGGCACTGGCGTATGAGGTGGAGTGTGAGAGAAATGGAGGAGATTGGAGGCTAAGAAAAGTCCCAGGACAAAAGGGAATCAATGGCGTCCCACCGTCAAAAGAGCAGCAGTGGAAGGCGGGGACCGAGCAGAATGAGGCACAGGAAAAGTCGTCCGAAACCTCAGATGAAGCGGCGGGGCCTGTGGCAGTGGATGCTTCAGTAGATGATGTCGTGGAAGGTTTGGAGGAAACTACCCTGGAAGAGCCCAGCCAGCCTGCTGAACAGAGCCCTACTCCGCCTACTAATGAGCCTGAACGAATTGCGATGCCCGAAGCTGGCTCTGAAGACTCTGAGGGGAATTCGCAGGACGAGCAGGCGTCAGATTTAGATGACGGCTGGATTACACCGTCTAATATCAAACAACGGCAGGCTCGCGACGCAGCAAAAGCTGCAGCTTCCGTTGAAACAAAAACCATGCAAGTTGCAACGATAACAACAGATTTTTCCATGCAGAACGTGCTACTTCAGATGAACCTTAACCTGCTCTCGACGAACAACCTCGAAAGAATAAGGCGTCTCAAGTCGTACATACTTCGCTGTCATGGCTGCTTCTTTACTACCAGAGAAATGACAAAACAATTTTGCCCTCGATGCGGCCAGCCCACACTCACCCGTGTTTCCTGCTCTACAACAGCGACAGGTGAATTTAAGATGCACTTGAAGAAGAACATGCAATGGAACAACAGAGGAAACAAATTCAGCATTCCAAAGCCTATCGCAGGCACATCAAGCGGAAAGTGGAACGGGGACGGAGGCGGCAAAGGAGGCTGGGGAACGGAGTTGATCCTTGCGCCGGACCAAAAGGAATATACTAGAGCCGTCGCAGAAAACGGAAGAAGGGCTAGGAAAGGACGGGACCTCATGGATGAGGATTACCTTCCGGGTATCTTGACCGGAGAACGAACCCGAACTGGCGGAAGAGTCAAAGTAGGGGCCGGTCGAAACGTTAATTCGAGGAGACGAAGATAATTTGGGACTTTTTGTGTCACGATAATTTATGATGGCATTGGCGGGATAAAAGTCATGAAGCATAGTCAATAACGCATATCGAGGTCGTATTCAAACAAGAAATGTATTTCCAGAACTATGGATACCACTAGATAACGTAGACATTTCTCCCACCCAACAGGTATGATTCAACGCCATTCGCCAAAACTCGTTATCAAAGAACTTTTACACTTTCGGCTCTATTATGAAAGCGCTATTAGGGGCCTGAAACCGTTTAAAAGAGAGCATAGAGCTTACCGGGTTGTTGTGTCAGTAGCAATCCATATCGTTTTTTGAGAGTAACTCGGTGTCTATCGTGTAAATTCAGTCAGCTTCTATTCCTGAAACCTGATGCATGGTAAAGGAAGCCAAAGTGGCAGGATAACAGATACCTGGAGTATTTATCATCTGGTGAGAATCGGGCTGGGTGTGCAGACTTTGTCACCTGCCCGTTAAGCACTTTTTTAAGGGTATAGACTCGCTTCCCCTGGTCGTCGAGAGTGTACATCAAATGCATCCTAAAGTAACAGGTAATCAGTGATAGCCCTCCCCAGATCCCCGATAATACATGCAACTCACTTGACGGTAGTGGTTTAAGAACAAACGCCAGGAACTGACCAGAAACTGTTTCTCAAGTTCAGATGCGATTTTGATTTTGGATCCATTTTTGGAGCTCGGATGCGGAGGATTATTTCACCGACCGCACATCAACCACAGCCCTGAAAAGCTTCGCAATCCTCGCACATTTCCTTCGTCGAAGCACCCAACACAATCATTAGACCGCAAGCCAACCAGGCGTCTCTGTGGCTAGTTATGATACAAAGCCATCCATAAGCTCATACATTTTTTTATTCCTACCGGATGATCTAAATGTGGAGCTATCGTTTGTAGTGTTTTAGTTCATTCCAACATCACAATTCTCTGTCCCACTGTGAGTTGAATCATGTTTCCTTGCTCGCCCATTTTACGTACAAGCTCTTGTCATATTTGTTCCGGTGATGACACCATTAGCAGCCTAGGCAATGGCACTGATTTCTAGCTGTTGACCAATGCTGGCTCTTTTTATGACTACAACGGTATCTGAGGAACATAGCACATAGCTGGAGGCCATTTTCAGCCCCTGAAATCCTAGTGTAAATGCGAGACAAAATACTGATTGTCAGTATTTTTAGAACCCCTTTTACTCCAGAACGGTGCAATACCATGTCTACGCCGGCTCCGAGTGGTGTAAAAGATGCCATGAGCGGCAACGCCGTCAAGCCAGACTTACAGGTTCCCATTGCCAAAGCTCGGCCGCATCGCCAGCGCCGACCAAATTATAAGCACATCCACCGTCATTCTCTTCCTTTAACTGTCCATCCCTTGCCTCCTTTGCTACCCCATAACCCCTTGTCAATCATCAGCATTGCCCTATCCTACCTTACCTATCTTATTTCTCCACCCTATCGTGAGACATATTCTGCATATTTTGACCCTACCACATCCTCTGTCCACGTGGTGCATCCGAAAGCGATTCGTGCCTTGTGGGAGATGGGCTTCTTTGGTAAAGGAAGTCTGAGTAGAAGTGAACCTACTTGGTTGGAGCGCGAGAAGAAACGGAGAGGCTTGCTAGCGTTAGATACCAGCGAGGAAGCTACTGGAAACAGACGAACTGAACGTCGGGAATGGAAGTTAGAACGGGCGAGGAAGGAAAAGGAAGCGATTGCCGAGCAGCTGCGAGCCGAAGCGGCTGCGCGCCCGAGCAAGGACGCCATTGCAGCCCAACCCACTGAACAGGTGTCTGGTTCAGATATTCATATTAATGGTTATCTTAACGCCAAAAGTCCCAACATGGGTCGCAGCTCAGTTCGGAATTCGGCTTCACTGTCGAGTCACAGCGCGGTGAGAGAGGACGTTGAGAACTCAGCGGTCAATGGAACCAAAATTGTACGGTTCTCATCAGAAGTAGATACTAGAAAGTATGAGAAAGAAGCAATTTTGGAACAACCATCCAAGCTTGAAAAGCTCGATTCCTCGAAAGTTCAAGATGAAGAGCATCTTCAATTATCCAATGAGGAAGCCTTTTTCCTTGCCTACGGACTTGGTGTTCTTCAAGTCTACGATCATAATATGAGTTCTGTTCTACCTAACTCTCACCTTCTATCCTTATTTCGTCGCCATTCCTACTTTCCACCCCGTGATGAGCTCATGCATCTGGAGCCGGATGACCGCTTCATCGTCTCTTACGTTGCTTATCATCATTTCCGCTCTCTTGGATGGGTTGTTCGCTCGGGGGTCAAATTTGGTGTCGATTTCCTACTCTATAATCGGGGCCCGGTGTTCTCTCATGCAGAGTTCGCAGTCGTGGTGCTGCCTGCCTATGAACATCCGTACTGGAGTGAAACTGAAGAGAGACGGGCGGCCGTCGCGAAGAAACTCCCACATACGTGGTGGTGGCTTCATTGCGTAAACAGGGTTCAGGCTCAAGTTAAGAAGACTCTGGTCCTGTTATATGTGGAAATACCGCCGACCGCTCCAGAACCCCAAGATATGTCAGGAGAACTTGATATTGGAGCACTTTTGAAAACATATGCAGTCCGCGAAATGACCATGAGGCGTTGGGTTCCAAATCGGAGTCGGGATTGAGATGTGCCCCATGGATTATTCCAGGATGACTTGCTGCAAGCGAAGGACGTTCGGGACCTGGGCAGGGCTCGATGAGCATGGATTTGTGTCCACGTGACCCAAAGGTTGGACGCAAAATAATTGTTCCGCAGAGGGCCGATCACAAAGTTTCATCTAATCGTCCACATCGAACTCTTGATGAATGAAGTAAATAATTTAACGTTGGCGCGAAAACATTCCAATTATTGGGTTCTAAGACCATTGGGCTTGGAAGACGCGTTCTCTGGGTGTTTATTAACAAATTGAACGCACTGGCCTTCTAACCAATAGAGTTCCTCTTGTCAAATATTATGTCAAAGCATATCCCGAATATTCTTTTATTGGATGGCGCTATGGGGACTGTACTCGAAGAGCCGCCATATGGTTTTACCTTTTCTGCCCAGACTCCATTGTGGTCGTCGCATCTACTCCTATCCCATCCCACCACGTTAAGCGAGATACATCGGTCCTATGTGGATGCTGGGGCAGATATTGTCCTTACGGCTACTTATCAAGCCAGCTTTGAAGGATTCGCTAGGACGGCGATTGTCCCCGCTAATGTACCTGCCGACCATAAACAGGATGAAAGGCATGGCCACGCTACGTATAGACCAATGGATGCAACTCGGTACATGCGTTCAGCAATACCTCTTGCTTATTCCTCCTTCAACTTTTCTTCAAAGCCTCCACGCGTGGCTTTGTCTCTGGGACCGTATGGAGCGACCATGTGCCCTGTTTCTGCGGAGTACACAGGAATATACCCAGAGGAGATGAGCAACACGGCGGCATTGGAAGCATGGCACGCAAAGCGCCTTGAGGTATATATGGAAGACCCCGAGACATGGAGAAAGATTGAATTTTTGGGCTTCGAAACTGTGCGGCGGTGGGATGAAGTTCTTGCCATCCGTGGTGCGATGGGCAAATTATTGCAAATTGCTGAATCGGGACAGTCAAGGAAATGGTGGATTAGTGGTGTTTTCCCCCAGGAAGATATCGATGAGGAGGATGTCAGGCGCTGGACATCCGCCGCCTTTGGTTCAACAAGCGAAAACGGACTCCATCCGTGGGGAATTGGTGTTAACTGCACACGCCTGGAGAATATTGAGCGTATTGTCGACATAATGGAAGATGAGTTAGGACGGGAAAAACTGACCGATAACGGGGAACGTGCGAGTGTAGGGAGTTCTTGGTCTTCTCGGCCGTGGTTAGTTTTATACCCCGATGGAACCCAAGGGGAAATCTATGATCCTACGTTGAAGACCTGGGTCAAAAAGGATGAGGAGGAAATAACAGAGTCTTGGCCTGAACGCTGTTGGAGGATTGTCAATCACACTTGGAACCGGAACGCTTGGAATGGAATATTAGTAGGAGGGTGTTGCCGCACTCGGGTGCATGATATCCGAGCATTACGGGAAAGAATAGACTCGGCGTGGAGTGGGAGCTAATTCATCCTAGCCTTCCACCTGGTTTACAAGTAGTGTGTATGTAATATAAATCCTTTTCGGATGCACAAACAGTGCAAATTGATACACTATTTCATTCTATTCTACCTTTTCACTCTTTTGTGTGCATTTTGACTTCTCTGTGCATTCAGGGAGGCGATTGAGCTTGGATATCAAAACAGCCACCCTGAATAGTTACAAAGCCCTCCAGCATTTCCAGCTGGCTGTGTTAGTAGTGAGCAACTGAGATGTAATTTCTTCAGGCTGCAGAATCCATTGTGGAAGAATAGCAATGATGATAAGGCCGACACAAGGCAGTTCGAAAAACATGATGCCACGGGATAAATGGCTGGCGAAGTGTCCATCTCTTTGCCGATCTCAAAACTGCAATATTGGATTTCCAGTTTGATCATGTGACTTCGTGACGCGCCAAACTTGAATGACAGTAATTTAACGTGTCGCGTCCTTATGGGCCCACACCTGATTAATACTTTCATGTATGAAGTGGTACCAGCAAGAACAACTGGGAGAAACACATTCTCTGCGAACAATCCTGCGCTGGGTGGGAGAGATGAAGGGTTGGCTATCATGTCTCTAGCTCCAGAAACCCAGGATGATAGCCTTGATCTGACATACCTCAAGGAAGCAGCATTGGGAATCAGTGATGTGTGTCAAATGGACCCCTTGTGACTGTCATGTTCTGGGGATTACGACTAACATGCGTGTCTGTTAACAGGAACATTGCTGGGCACCCCCAGGCGCCGGGGGAACAACTGATGCCCATGGAGGTCTATCAGCTGCAGCGCAAAAACATGGGAAATTACAAATTGATGTCATTGTCGCCACGGAGATGGTCTCTAACCCACAAAGCCCCGATCCAGATGGACTTCCTCTGTTCTCCTACCAACAAAATGCCGACACGGATACAAGTAGACTGTCCTCTTCACACGCTGAAGCTTGGAACGCAGGTCCTAGGTTCCTACCGCCAACAATGACTTCTACAGATAGCCTACCTGGGGATACTCAGGTAGTCTCGCAGTCTGTGTATGATAACATCTTAAAGCAACGCAAGGTCGAAGGCGAACTATCGATTCCTGACACTTCATGTGGACTTGCAAACGCAGATGGTGGTATCACGCAAAAAACTCTCGGCGAAGGAGATACGGGGCATCTAGACCTACTAGTGGATTTGGACGAAGACTTGTATAGCAAGTTCGTCGAAGATGGGCATACATCTGGAGCCGATGACGAACCCTCCTCCCCAACTCATTATCAGCCATTTCCAGAGTCTCAACGCTTCATTGGTTCCAGCCCTCGGAGAATTGGGGCCCATGATGCTGACGCCAGAACTCCCACTCCAGCCTTGAAACACAATCCGTTTCTAGCTGAAAGTAAGACACCAGGATCTGTGATGGCCCTGAGCCAGCTGTTTAATGCCACGCAAGCTTCATCCTCTCCATTAGCGAACGTCCCTCGGCCAGAGTTATCCTCGGATATGCCTTCCCCTAATTTCCCTGTTCGAAGCCGGCAGACAGCTACGTCTCTCTTTTCGCCACTCCAAACTACCTCGCCAGCTTCTGGGTCCGGCTGTGTTGAGCCACAGGACGTTTATATCTCTGTAAAAGAATCTCAAGAAGCGCGTGCAAAACTAGTCGACCAGCAGGAATCGCTTTCGAAATCTAATTATGCGTCAGATAATCTCAGTGATGACGGTTTTTTCGCCAACGACGAATCGCTTCAACGTCGACTACGCGAGAAGGAAGCCGAGAATGAACTCAGAAAGCAGTTTGAATGTGTTACGGCTCCATCAAGGCCGAATTCCCGCAGAGCTCGCCAAAAAGTGGCTGGGACCTCGTTACCGAAAAGCTCTCCGCACGTCCGGTCCGAAAGCATCTCGTTACCTGTGGCGGATAAAAGCGCGGACAGGGCTCCTCAGACAGGGATTGGGCCGGAGAGTGAACTGGAGACCGAACAAGAAGATGAAACCATTGGCTCTCGAGACCCTAACCCTTCCACAGTTAATGGAGATGATGATAAAGAAAACGTTGATAATCGACCCGTTCGACTCTCCAACCCAACTGCTCTCGCACATGATGCACTCTCACAGGTGCTAGATGTTGAGGAATGCCTTTCCACCCCTCGACCAAATTCAACTCATCTCTCGGAGCCCCTGACCTATCAGTCCCAGCCGTTAAGCTCCCTTAATAGAGCAAGCGCAGCCAATGAAAGTGACGATTCACATCATGAAATGGTGCTAAACTCCCAATCATCTACAGGAGATGCCGAGAGCACTCAACTCAAGCCCGGTTCTGGGAGAGACGATGCTGAATCATGTGACCAGCCTTTGGATACCATAATTTTGGGCCAAAATCCAATGGGTTCCAATCCTCACACACGGTCGTCACCAGAGCCCCTTGCCACGGCGGTTGGAGGATCATTAGGTCCTGACAAGGAATCAATGCGGCCCCCTGCACCAGTTACCGAGGTTCTTGCATCTTTTTCCTCTGCATCAAAACTTCGATCTCCGGCAGGACCTGTGGACTGTTCCGAAGACGTCGCTATTCCTGAGAGTGGAGTTCTTGGACGCAGCGGCCAAGCCGAAGCTCACCGTGACACCATCAATCCCAAAGATGACAATATGAACGAGGACACAATTATGGTATCGTTTGTTTACGATACCCCTACCCCACGTCCTGCCGAGACTCAATGTTTCCAGCGCACTATACCGGAAACTAGCCCAGATGATCAAAGGATGCCCTCCTCAACCCTTTTAAGCGATCCCTCTAAATCTAAGGATAGTCACGAGCTACCTGAAAGTGACGATTTACCTGCAATGTCCCATATCAATACTCAAAACGTTAGAGATCCCGGATCAGCAGGTTGGCTCCGAAGGAACATTTCGAATCGGCTTCCTTCTATTCTTTCAAGTCCAAGCGGCCGTCAGCGCCGGTCCATGACAGACATTGCCTCTGACCAGTCTCCACTACGGGCAACGCCTCAAATTCAATTTGATGACATCAGCCTGATGACCACAGACGACAAAACATTCCAGGAAATAATTTCAGAGTCGGATGGTCATGCAGCGAAAAAAAGAAAGTCTAATAGTGGCAGAGGGGTTTATGCTTCTTCCAAACTCACTTTGCCTCGGTTTCATAGCCACAAAAGTCTATATGAGACGGCATCCGACCCTCTAGATGGGCCAGGAAGCGAGCGCATCGGTGGGACAGGTACCCTTAGTTCTATTAATTCTGCGACTCTACGTACTCGAAAGAAGACTAACCCAGTATCGAAAAGCATTTGGGAGGTGGATGATTCGCCTCAGAGAAAGGTGCAGGGCTGTGTGCCCCACCGAAACCCGCCAAAAATCAAAAAGCCATCAATTACCAAAGGCCTAAAAGGTGGGAAGAAGGGCTATTCAGTTGCAGAAGCCGTCGTCATCTATACTCAGTCAAGCTCTTCGCCGGTCCCAACAGAAAGGATCTCGTCCGATCCTCCAGTCCGCGAGGAGACTCCGCCCCAAGAATGCGCTGACGCGACGGCAAATCCTTCCATCAAGAAATTTGATTTTTCAAATCAAATTTTTGCTTTTTTTAACGGACAGCCGCATGGCTATTATCCGGCTACTTGTGTTGGTGTATCCAATGATGTTGGTCGTCAACGTTATCTGGTTTTGTTTGAGGATTCAGAGACACCAGAAGAGCTGGATATGTCCAGCGTGAAGAAACTCGAGCTGAATGTGAATGATACCGTCAAAGTATTTTCACTGGACCTGCCAAAAATACCTTATCGGGTCGTTGAATTGACCGATAAGCTTGCCCCAAATGCTCCATGCACTCCTGGAAGTCCGCCTCCTCTAACTGATATACATGGACATGCATCGGTGGTTCTGGCGCCAAAACAAGAACAAAAATCGCTCGGTAGACGACAGAATGTTACTGTACCAATCTCTAGAATATACCTGGACAAGAACCTCTGGTCGAGACTGGGAGTAAGGCCATATTCATTTATATCTCCGAGTAACTTGACGTCGAGACTGCAAACTCCAATGGATTGTGGTGAAACCAGCTTTGCTCCCAGTGCTGCCCGCACCCCACACAAAGAGACCTCGGGAGTGGGAATTTTCAGTGGTATGGCATTCGCCATTTCATATACTCATAATGGAAAGGAATTATCTCGCTTGGAGCGCTTGATTCTAAGAAATGGAGGTCGAATATTGAGGGACGGGTTTGATGAACTCTTTCATCTCCCATTCTCGTCTTCCGCGGCGGACGAAAAGACGCACGACCTGGTTCTGACATCTCAAGCTGAGCAGCTCGGGTTTGTCTGTCTGATCACTGATAATTATTCCCGACGTCCCAAATATCTGCAAGCACTTGCACTCAACCTACCTTGTTTATCAGGTCGATGGGTTGATCACTGTATCTCTGACAACACAATCATTAACTGGGAACCGTATTTGCTTGCTGCAGGTCCATCCATGGTCCTTCAAAAGGCCGTGAAGTCTAGAATCCTTTCTCCTTACCCTGCATCCACAGCACGTCTGAGTCACACTATCCAACGACGTCCCAGGCCTCTCACTGGACAACATGTGTTGATCATCACGAACAGCAGGCATTCAGCAGAAAGGAACCCATATGCCTTTTTTACGTATGCACTAGGTCCCAATAAGGTTACCCATATCCCGGATGTGCAGGGAGCCATTGACCTGTTGAGTCAGGACGCTTGTTCACCAACAAACCGGGAACAGGATACTTTGTCTGACTGTGTCTGGATATATGCCGGAGATGAAGAGTCGGCTAAAGCAGCGCGCAAGCTGCTCCTATATACGTCCGGATCAGCGGCACCCAGGCCTGCAGGAGCTCGAGGCCGTGGCCGTCCTCCAAAGAAGCGAAAAAAGGCTTCGGATTTGGGGGATGATAATGAACATCACGATATTGATGAGTTTCGGATCAGCGGAAGGAAGGTGAGGGTTTTGGATCATGAATATATTTGTCAAGTTTTGATTTTTGGGAATTTGTTTGATGGGTGGGCGGAAATACAGCAGGAGTGTCACCAGTAAATTTGCTACTTTCGTGATTTTAAAGCTCTTCACCAGCATACGTTTCGAGGGGACCATGTCTATTATTCCAAAGTTTACCGTTAACGGTCCCTTTGGAAAGACACCTTAATGGCACTTGATGCCTTTTTGTCTCGTAACAATGGGAGTTAAAATGTCGAGTCACATAATCTGTCCTCATCCAATCTGCCCAACGTAGTGAGATACCAAGTAATGGCCCCGTTTACCATGGCAGCCATGCTTCCAACGGATAAGCATGGGATAAACTGTCATAAGCCAGTTAACCGAGGAGAAAGCGGTAAAATACACAGAAAATGTCCCAGCTCAACTTCTGCCATCTATGGTACAAGAAAACCAAAAAGCCCGAACTCCACTAAAAGCTAAGAAAGTTGGAATAGCATATGGCGTCCAAATCCGCTTGTTCATCATTGTTTCGCCTTGACTTTGGTCTTTTTCCGGTTCTTCAAATCCTTCATCTGAGCAACGCGCTTGATCTTCTCCGTCTTCTTCCTCCATGCCGTCCACCGATCCTTTCTCCTCCATTCTTTCACGGTGATCCCAGCCTTGTCGGGGAGACGACCGATCTCCCAGTTACCTTCACGGTACTGATAACCGGGTCTGAGTGGCGGGGTGGCGCTCTTTTCAGGCACAACAGCTACATCTTCGACCGGCATCGGGACCGCAACCATGCCCAACCGTCTCTTTGTAGGTGCGTTTCTCGGGTAGGGAAGGACGTCCTCCCTAGCAAACGCGACGCCAATATATTTCCTTGTAGGATGCTTTTGCGGGTCGCGGTAGTACTTCACATATCCCGTCTGTAGTGCATAAATCGTGTGATCGCGCCCAATGCCGCAATTTTCTCCGGGAAACCATTTCGTCCCTCGCTGGCGGAAGATGATGTTTCCTGGGATCACGTATTGCTCGCCGGTCTTTTTGGCGCCCAGGCGCCTTCCGGGTGAGTTTCTGGAGTGCGCGTTTGCGGCACCTTGGGTAGCGTGGGATGCGTAACGGAATTGAGCGCCGAGGCGGGACGGGTGTAGAGGAGTGATGTTATGGGGTGCGGTGATGGATGTTCGTTGCTGGAGGAATTGTGACGGCTGTTTAGGGACCTGAAGGAATGGGACAAAAACTCTTTCGAGTACCCGAAAGGGCGCTCGGAACTGAGGCTGAAGCATTGTCTCCAGAGAGGCAGACCGAGACCAGTACGCAAGTCTCGATCGCGAGTTTGCGCTCGAACGTCGAATTCCAGAGCTGCGGAGGCGGAAAAAAGTTCAGAGGTCACGTGACACACGATTTTCGCACAGACGGCTTCTTGGCTGATGACACGCTTCAGCGGACAGGGGAAACGGGCGACTGCGAATCGAGACAGCTGGCCTGTTGGAGCACATCGTCACGTCCCCAGCATCCCTGTGCAGAAGGCATCGCAGGACAACACGGAGTGTTAGGAAAATGGCTCACATATCCATCAATGCCATCTTGGCATTGCTCATCTTCATTTCGACGGCACACGCCCAATTCCAGTTCTTCGAGCAAATGTTCGGCGCTGGAGGACAGCAGCGGGAATCTCAGGACCAAAGAAATGTCCCCAGCGACAGTGCCTGGTATCAAAAGACGTATGATGGGGGTATGTCTTTTCATCCGAATTTTACTGGATATCACATTTTCCTAGACAAAGCTTGAAAGTTAATCACGAAATGATGTTGTAGCCCAGTGCTCCAATTATCTTTGTCCTGGAACCCTAGCTTGCGTGCATTTTCCTCATCACTGTCCTTGCCCGCATCCGCAAGTTGAAGAGAAGTTCGAACTCGGCGAGGGAAGCGCCATCTGCATTTCACGAGGCGGATTTAAAGCCGGCGAAGCCGCACGGAAGGTTGAATTAGCAAGGAAAGGCTTGCTGTGATGGTATGGGGATTTAGTTTGATGGGAGACAAAATCGAGTTTGGTTATATTGGTTTCCTTGCATTCAGGTATCGGGATATCTTGCATGGTGTTACGGAGTGAAGTCAAAGAAGGCATGGCCCCGATAACCTCTTGAATTGACTGTCGGATTGGTTAAAACTGTCAGCGAAGGGCACTGGAGATAAATCAGATGTATAAAATAGAATACGGGTATCAAAATATAGACGTTCCCCTTCAAAGAGTTGGCAGATCCCTGAACAATTTTTACCCTGTAAATGGAAAGCTACTGTGGATCACTTTGTTCAATTGCTTGCAAAATTTATTTAGAGCTTGGAGCAACATAGTTGAATATAATCCAAGTACAAAGTCTACAGTCTGTGGTGTCTACAGTTCCCATTTCTTAAGCCTTTCTAGTGGACTTTACGAGTGATAGAAGCGCCCTCGATATCCACTGGCTGATCAATACTCCTGTCTATCTTTTCTGCTCCAATTTCGTGTGATGTCATCATGTGGCCTAGGCGAATAACACTCAGCACGCCGCGCCTGTCACTCGTCAGAACCGCACGATCATCGCGAGATCCCAGAATCTCGCGGCGCCCAATCCGGAAAAGCTTCCCTCGACCTAATCAACGAGCTAGGGCGCGCCCGTCAAACAGCCAGCCGCGTGATGATACCCAACAGCAGCCCGGCCAGCCCTCAGAGCTTGGTCGGTCAGCACTTGAAGCTCTCTCCTCCACGCTCCATGATACCAATCCGCAAAATAACAGTTTACTTGCGCCGGTGCATATTCCAGAAGACCCGAGTGCTGTGCTCAAAGATGGACACCCCGCGACTCGAATATTGGCCAACTCGGGATTGGTGGTCCAAAGACAGTTGGAGATGATGAACGTCCTGCTGTAGGTTTTTAGATCTTATTTCATATTGAGGAAAGAGGGTATTAAGATTCGTCTAGTGGTTTCGAACAAGCAAATAGATATACGATCCTTGATGCTCATGGAAATCATGTGGGGTATATGGCGGAACAAGATACTGGAATGGGAACCATCATGGGCCGCCAATTTCTTCATACTCACCGACCGTTTGTCACCCACATTTTTGATATACACCAGAACGAAGTATTACGGGCATGTAAAAATTCTATTTTTATCTTCAGGAGCTAAAAGAGTGTTTGACGGCTAACAAGAATAGTTTCACCGCCCGTTTGCTTTGATAAACTCGCGGATCCGAGTTTACGATCCTCTAGAAGCGGCAGACGCGACACGGTCTACCGCAGCAGTTCATTTAGCAGCGGGGCCTACGGGAGGCGTTGCTAGACTCTCCACTTTGGATCATTCTCAGATGCGCGTGATCGGAGAAGCGCAACAAGAGTGGGCTTTACTCCGGCGGAAATACAATCTGTTCCTTTTCCATGAGCCTCCAGTCAAGGAAACCAAACTCTCCACCCAAGCGATTTCTTTCTCAAGTTCTGATTTATCGAAATCTCAACAATCACAAGTATCTCTAGCATCGGGCGGCCCTTCGCAGGCCCAACGAACACAATTTGCCTACGTCAACGAACCCGTGCTTTCGTGGGATTTCTCCCTCCGAACCGCGAATGAGCAATTGATTGGTTCCGTCAACCGCAATTTCGCAGGGTTTGCCAGAGAAATCTTCACTGATACCGGCGTATACGCCTTGCGCATGGATTCTGCCGGTCTGGAAGAGCAACGGTTACGAGAGGCGACAGCGAGGGCGCAGGCTCACCCAAGCATTGCACCTCCTGAATGGGAGACGCCGCCCCCTATGACGTTGGATCAGCGAGCAGTAATGCTGGCTACTGCTGTCAGCATTGATTTTGATTACTTTAGCCGTCATAGCGGTTCTCCCGGCATTCTACCTTATGGGATGTTTGGACTCGGTGGCGCAGGTGCTGAAAGTGTAGCTGGCGGAGCTGCGGCAGGGATGGCTGGGGCTGGCACTTTAGCTGGCTACGAAGCGATGAGGAGCGGGGCCTCAGCAGAACAAGATCCAAGCCAAGTCCCGCAGCAACATGAAGGGGAAGATGCTAGTCCTGGCGAAACTACTTGCGATGAGCAGGGCCCCGGCTACTGGGAAGAGCCAGTTGACGAGGAGACTTTCCAAGATCATCATCAGGATGAATGGCCCGGAGAATCTGGGGAGGGTGACGATTCGTGGTCGGACTTTTTCTAGCCTGATATGATATCAGGGTTGTACGATATGAAGGATATAAAGACGCTTATTAAACGATCAGGAGTATCTCTGAAGCCTAAGCAGTAATGCATATCTGATGAAGTGACACTGGACATGACCCATGTTTTCATGTCTTGCTTTTCCACCACAGTCATCTTGAACGGTGATAACGTGAACATGCAGTGGGCGGATTACATAACATTGCCCCGGATTTAGCATCAAACCTTATTCTTCACCGTTCCGAATTGCCGCCGACTCCCGTCAACATTCGACCAGGTGAGCTTCAAGCTTCCCCCAAACCACCGAATTGGCTCGGCTTTCCAACTGACAACTCGCCAATACACCAGTTTCTTCTAATAAAATTCTTTTTTATAAACACATAGTCCGTCAGCTGCACCGATCCACCTCAGATCACTGCTCCTCAGCTGCCCTCTCACAAAACCCCGCCTCCCGCCTTCGTCATGGCGTCGTCCGTCGCGCAAAGGCGCCTATTCCACGAATACAAGATGCTCTCCACCTCTCCGCCTGACGGGATCACAGCTGGGCCCGTTTCCGAAGATGACATGTTTGTCTGGGAGGCTCTGATCCAAGGACCTGAAGGCACACCCTTCGAGGGCGGTATATTCGCCGCGGAGCTCAAATTTCCCAAAGACTATCCCCTAAGTCCTCCCTCTATGAAGTTTCTAGGCGGAGGAGTATGGCATCCAAACGGTAAACAGACTACTTGCCTTTTCCTCCCCCCTCCCTTCTCTTTGTCGTCCTCCGGAGGGTCGTCTGTTGCTGACATCGTATCTGTTTTGTGTGTGTGTATAGTGTATCCGAATGGCTCGGTGTGTATCTCCATCTTGCATCCGCCTGGTGATGATCCGAACCACTATGAGCATGCATCGGAGCGCTGGAGTCCGATTCAAAGCGTGGAAAAGATTTTAATCAGCGTTATGAGTATGTTGGCGGAGCCGAACGACGAGAGCCCGGCAAACATCGAGGCTGCTAAGATGTGGAGAGAAAGGCGAAGCGATTACGAGAAGAAGGTGAGAGAGGAAGTACGAAGGAGCTTGGGCCTCTGATGCTTACTTCTTTTTGCTTACATTATGGGAAAAACCATCTCGATTTTCGGCATTGCGCCCATGAACAAACCTAAGATGATTATTACTTCGACATTGGCCGAGCGCTTTAGCCAGTACTTTTGTCTTTTCTTTTTCTTTTTTTGGGTAAGGGAACTGCATGTAAGGCGCTAGGCAATGCACATTAGAAAGCGTGGATACTGCTTTTCACCTGGGCGCTTGATATCATATGTAAATAAATCTCAACCAATCTGAATCACCTTTTTAACTTCCTGTCCAGCCATCCTTCAATACCACCAGCTTTCTCATATAACACTTCAATTTCCGCCTTGGCATTCACCATGAGCATTCTCTGTAATTCTAGCCTCCATTCCTGCTCTCTCTCATCTGAGAAGATCACACTATGCGATAGCATTGCTTGGGCCCTGGCCCTATCGCGAAGAGTCATAGGAATAAGCGGACGGTCAACATCTGCGTTTCCAGGTATGGCAGTATCGGAAGCCCGTAACCCCAGCCATTCGACACCGGGAACATTCAGATTCGCATTTTCATGACTTTGGGATATGGATCCATATTTATAAGTTGACATGATCGCCATCCCATCTGGATCACAGTCCACAAGAACATATATTGGGATAAAACGGGCAGGCGAGTTCCTCCATTCAGATATTGAGCGGAGGAAAGCTCTTGTGGATAGGTCCGGATATCCTTTACCCTAAAATTACATACAACCATGCTGGATCAGCACTCAGGTGGAAGCTGATGGTAGAAGGTATTCTTACCGTTATCAAGATACCTCCACCTGCGGCCGATGTCGCATGATAGTTCGATGTGGCCAGACAGTGAAATACAGCCTTCGTTCAAAGTCAGACTTATGATTTTGTCACCCAAAAAGTAAAAACCATCGTTGTTCCCTTGGGAAATTTATGTACCTCCTTTTCAATTATCAGTATCCATCTGACACCCGACAAGTCAAATCCGACTATCTCATGAGTCCTTGGGATAAGAATTCCCTATATCGTCCATTAGCACACCTCTACATGAGCTCGCGCAGGGCTTCATGAACCTCGCAATGCTCCCCAACGTTCAGTACAGATCCACTTTGGAGGTTAATTTTGTAACGACCAACTGTCAACCCTTTCGCTGCTGCTGACTACTTAAGTCAACCCCGGAATGAGTATCATGGCTAGGGAACCAGTTTCACAATGTACCACATGCAATGCCGCCCGGTCGACACCAACTGTATAGGCGATATCATCAATATATCCATCCACCAGTCTCTGAGAACCGAAGTATGGTGGGTCAAGGTAGTATATATCTCGTTTGGAGGAGATAAATTTGCCCTCGATAGCTTCTGAAATGTGCCCTAGAATCCGCATAATGACACCTAAACTTACATTATGAGACAAAGAGTTGAGACGGCCGATAGAGTCCCAGGAACTCTGCAACTCTGAAAAAAAGGGGGTGCAAGATATCCTACCAAATTTCCAGGCATCGGTTACCGTCTTTCCGGGCCAGGAATATGTAACACTCCACTCCCTGCCATTCGTATCTACTTGCAATGCCCCAGTCTCCTCGTTCAATGAGCAATTGTTAGCTCGTTTAGACCGGCGTTTCAGCGTCACTGACGGCCGCCCGTCAGGCTTTGACAGCTCATCGAGAACGGAAGCAAGCGTAGACTCGATGAACTGCTTGACTCTTTCCTGATGAGGGCGGCCGTTTGCATCGGCCTTCGGGTCGCCAGAAAGAGCGGGCATTGCAAAAAAAAAAAAAAAAGGACGACGAACCCCAGCGTGAGATCTCGTCGCTCTTCCACGAAGGCGATTGACGGAGGGACAGGTCGTCGTTGCGGCTCCTTCCCGCGCGGCACGTGCAACGGATGCGGCTCAATTCTTATGTGATCCGGAGAAGTACACAGCAATTTTTATCAATTATCAGGGCTGCACAGTAAAGATAGATCTCTCTATGCTGCAGTGGCAATGAATAGCCTCTGCATGCCCGGGAACTACAGACATCCCATGGTTAACGCGCCCTTTGGAACCTGGTCATTCACCTCATGGTTGGTGAATCTGTCGGAGAACCACATCACAAGAAAGCAAGCACTATTCATATTCATTGGCTCCCAGCATGATATCATATCCGGAGTTCTCCTGTGCCAAGTGAAGAGCTGGGGTATCTCGAGAAGGTCACCTTGGTTTCTAAATGGCATCCTTACACCATGTTTGCGTGCTGCGATGGTCGGAGATTGCAGCTTGGCGCCAAGTCACATCAAGCTTTTCCCCATCACCGGTTCAATCTTACTAGCGCCGATACTAATAAATACCGCAAGCCTTGACGGCTTGGCGTTCTCTTGGATCGTCGATTAAGCTTCAGGTGCCACCTGGTCCACGCCGCAGTTTCAAGTTCGCCGAACCGAGATTGGTTGCGCTTTGAGTTGTACTAATAATAATAATACTAAAATGACGGGCCGAAACACAAGAGCGGCCAATGAGAATGGCTCCGTGCGTTCCGGACAGGGTGGAGCGGACGACCAGACCGACTATTCAAGGTGGCGTCTGCTCAGCGATTGTGGAAGACAAACATGGCACTACTTGACAGCGGCGCGGGAGCTGGAGCAGTGGCCCCAGTCCATCGCTGATAAGTACCACCTTGGCCTCCCAACTGTTTGTGGTACATTCCTGCCCTGCGGCCTTCCCGTTACTAATCCAAGACTTTTTCTTGAACAGGGCCTTCCCGAGTTACCTCGTGCTACATCTCCGGTTGAAGCCGCCGAGAACGGGCTCTCGTTCCTGTCACACCTGCAATTACCCCCAGGGAACTGGGCCTGCGAGTATGGCGGTCCTATGTTTTTGCTCCCCGGTCTGGTTGTCACCTGGTACGTGACCGGGACATCCGTTCCTCCACAGTTCGCGACAGAGATCAAACGGTACCTCTTCACACGCCAGCACCCCAAAGATGGCGGCTGGGGTCTCCATATTGAAGCCCACAGCTCCGTGTTCGGCACTGCAATGAACTATACAGCACTGCGCCTCCTGGGTGCCAGTGCAGAAGACCCTCGAATGATCAAAGCCCGTGGTTTGCTTCACAAATTCGGTGGCGCAGTGTATGGACCCCATTGGGCGAAGTTCTGGCTTAGTGTGTTGGGCGTGATGGAATGGGAATGTGTCAATCCTTTGCCCCCAGAACTGTGGTTGGTGCAACATTCTCTTTGTCGCATTTTAATTTCCACCCCTTGCTAACCCTTGGCATGCCAGGCTCCTGCCCGACTGGGTTCCGTTCGCTCCGTGGCGGTGGTGGGTTCACATGCGGCAAGTTTTTCTTCCCATGGCATACATTTACTCTAGACGGTTTTCTCACCCTCTGGATGGTCTCACAAGCCAATTACGACAAGAGCTGTACACAGAACCCTATGAAGCCATTAACTTCGCCTCGTACAGAGGCACAATTTCAAAAGAGGATAATCACTCTCCCAAGTCCTGGATTTTGAACGTTATCTTCTGGTTTGTTGTCAATATCTGGAATGTGTACCTCCGATGGCCGGCTCTTGTGAAAAAGGCAGAGGATCGGGTGTGGTATCTAATTCAGCGTGAAGACGAGAATACAGATTATGCCGATTTGGGACCAGTCAATGCGTCCATGAATACTATTTGCTGTTACATTCATGATGGTCCTGGAAGCTTCCCAGTCCATCGCCATCTGGATCGCTTACATGACTTCCTGTGGATGAAAAGTGAGGGCATGCTGATGAATGGTACTAATGGTGTCCAGGTTTGGGATACTGCATTCATAATACAAGCGGCCGTTGTGACTGGATTTGCAAATGACACAAGGTGGCGGCCAATGCTGATGAAGGCCCTTGAGTTTCTGGAAGCCCATCAAATGCTGGAAAATATTCCAGAGGAAGAAAAGTGTTATCGCTTCCGGGCAAAGGGAGCTTGGCCATTTAGCACCAAGGTTCAAGGGTACACCGTCAGTGATTGCACTGCTGAAGCTCTCAGAGCCGTACTTCAGCTGCAGAACCAACTTGGATTTACTCCTTTGATACTTCAACGCCGCTTAAAGGACGCGGTGGACACACTTCTAGAGATGCAACATGATACTGGTGGCTTCGCGGACTACGAGCCTACAAGAGCGTCTCGACATATTGAGTTCCTGAATGCTGCCGAGGTCTTCAACGGAGTTATAGTTGGTAGCGATTTTACAGAATGCACAGCGGCAGCAATCACTGCTCTGTCATACTTTAGTAGGTTTTACCCAGATTACCGAGTCGACGATATAAAGAGAGCTCAAGATAAAGCTGTTGCCTATATCCGGCGAGCACAAGAGCCAGACGGGAGCTGGTATGGTAGCTGGGGGATTTGCTTCACATATGCGGCCATGTTTGCTTTGGAAGCTCTTGCAATGGTTGGCGAAACCTACGAAACTAGCCAGAGAGCTCGTCGCGGGTGCCAGTTCCTCCTTGATAAGCAAATGGCGGACGGTGGCTGGGGCGAATCATACCACAGCTCCGTGTCGAAAACTTACACTCATTCAAAAACATCACAGGTGGTGCAGACTGCATGGGCTTCCCTTGCATTAATGGAAGCCGGCTACCCGAACCGAGAACCACTCCGGAGAGCAATGAACGTGATCATGCTGAAACAGCAGCCTAATGGAGAATGGCTCCAAGAAGGCATTGAAGGTGTTTTCAATCAGTCATGGTACGTTGTCAGGCATTTCGATTTCAAGGCGAAAGCAACTGCTAAAAATTGATTACAGCATGATCTCTTACCCTAACTATAAGCTCTATTGGCCAGTTCGGGCTCTTGGACTTTACGCAAAGAAATTTGGAAATGAAGATATTCTATGATTGATGCCCACGCCCATCCTAATTCCCACCAAGTCTTTTGGCTATTTCAGATGCATAGCTAGCGTGAACGGCATGAGTTTGGACCTCCAATTTTCCTTTTCCTTTTTCTTTTCCTTTTTCTTTTTTATTTCTTTTTCCCCACCTTCCTTTGTTTCTTTTTGGAGTTTATCCAGGCGTTTCTTCTTTTCCTTTGAAGACAGATAACTAGATGTCATCCACAATAGACATGTTTAATACAATCGTGATCTCATCAGCTAAATGAAACTTTTGGGGGGTGATCATAACCACGTGATCACCAGTTCAATTTACCAGAAGCTGCCAGAACCAACAACGGTGATCAGGAGCATTTGATGAACATAATTAGTAGCAAAGTGAAGAGTCATGATCCTAGGCCTCAGCATTTCCCACTTCTAGGCCTGATGATCATTTCCATTGCTACATTTGGTCATCTCAAGTTGGTACTGAACTCTCACACCTCTTGAGCGGATCTACAAACCATTAACCCAGAGACAGCGACGCCCCGCCTTCGTCCTGACGCCTGCTTGCTCTTCCCGCTTCAGCCCGAAACCAGCCTAATTTTCCAAATGGATGAAGCTGCCCAGGGTGCAAAGGCGCTGACTGCCTCGGACTTTCCATCTGCCATAAAACATTTCACACGGGCCCTGACGGTCAACCCCCACGCGACAAATTACTACGTCAAACGGTCAACCGCGTTCTCGCGCCTGAAACCAGAGGATGGAGGACCGAACGGTGAAGCGGCTCTTCGAGATGCTGAGATGGCGGTAGCTCTTGGTATTCAGCGCGCAAGACGAGAGTTGATCATAGCGGGTCAAATGAGAAGAGCTATTGTCCTGTATCAGCTGGGCCGATTCGGAGATGCCGATTTCTTGTTTAAGATCCTGAGGAATAAGCTGGGCAATGCTGCTGATACCAACTCAAAGGACAAGGCAATGGCGGCAATGGGACTCACGGATGCGACAGCGGCGACTCGTGATAGCAGCGTCAAGGACCAGGAGCTGCAGATCTGGGAGGTCAAGGTCAAGTCTCAACTTAGTAAACTAGCGCCTGGGGATGAGAAAGCGAATGTAACCATTGCGGAAATCCCTAGCGTCGTCGTTCCCGACACAGCGGTGTTGAAAGAATTGCATCAGGCTCAACTGCGAGAAATGGAAAGTGGCGTTGAACCGTCATCGCTGCAAGTCGAAAACAAGACGCAGGGACAACAGAACCAGCAAGAGACACCTGATAAAGCTGCCCATGGCACACCTTCTGAAAGCCAGTCGCAATCTGCTCAAGTGTCTACTTCTCAAGGGCCAGTAACCGCAAAGCACAGGCATGAGTGGTATCAGAATCATAACACTGTGGTCGTTACGTTATACGCGAAGGGTGTTCCAAAGGATAAAGCCGAAATTGAAATTCAAGAGCACTCTGTATGACGACTCCTTCGATTTTTTTATGTTTCATTCCGAGTGTGCTGACCTTTCTACCTTTGCAGTTATCAATTTCATTCCCAACGAGCACCGGTTCCGATTTTACCTTTGACTTGGACCCGTTATACGCTGCTGTTGATACCACAGCTTCCAGATATTCAATCATGTCGACTAAGATTGAAATTATTCTCCATAAGAAACAACCTGGCCAAAAGTGGGCATCCCTAGAAGGAACTATGGGTCCCGCAGCCCAATCAACCACATCTTCAAGCTTTCCTCTCCCGTCCGTTCCCGCTTCGGCTCCAACCAAGGCACCTTCGTATCCCACGTCTGCTCGTGGTGGCGCTAAGAATTGGGACAAAATAGCAGCAGATCTAAGCAAAAAGAAGAAATCAAACAGTGGAGACCAAGGCAAGGATGAAGATATGGATTCCGATCTCGAGGAATACAACTCTGGTGATCCGGTCGATGGCTTCTTCAAGAAACTCTATGCTAATGCTGATGACGATACGAGGCGCGCGATGATGAAGAGTTACTATGAGAGCAAAGGGACGGCATTGAGTACTAATTGGAGCGAAGTCAGTAAAGGTCCAGTTCAAGAGCATCCTCCTTCGGACGACTAAAACATTAAATCAATATTACGACGCGACGCGTACCAATCTCCGATCATGTAGTCTTTTTCTTTTTCGTTTTACCATTCTTCGTCACGCAAGGCGCTTTGGGGTTCGGATTTGATTAATTAGATGAAATAACTCGAAAGCTAGTGCAAGGTTGCCTTTCATCCCCTAACCTGGCCTTTCTTGCTTTATTGCCCGAGAATACATCTTTGCAGCTGACTCCAAGAAAACTTCAACTCCAGCTACATGTTGAGATCGAGAATTGACAAGCTTGTCCAATGAATAAACATGACTTCAAGTTCTTTTCATTTGTCACGGCAAACAACGTGCTCCCCGGACTCCCTATAATGATCAAACAAAATAATAGTATACGTCGTTCACGAAGCAATAGCTCAAAGTAACATCAAGTAACCCGCCCAAACTTTCCAACCTCACAATATGATACCATGAACCATTTTTCTCCTATATTGTACATTCCCTGCAATAAGCACAGCCTCAGACGCCTCTACCATTCAAATCCAACAGAAACGCTCCTTTTTTTCCTTTTTTTTTCATCTGATCATGGAATCGTCATATTCTTCTTCTTTCTCTCGATACATAATGAACTGCGCGAAAATCGCCAGATCCAAAAACAGTGTTCCCAAGCTACCCAATAGCCATGATGCGTTGACTAGTAAATATCTTCCATATATCCTTCGCTGCTCACCAGGCTGACAATGGCCCCTCGTGTCCTCGCAGATGGGCGAATATGCAAATATCGAGAGCACGTAGGTTAAGTTTCCAACGCAGGCGAAAAGGAAGAAGAGAAGAGACACTCCTTCTGTACTCTTTCGGCGCCAATTCAGTAGTAATTGAGGGATACGGCTACCCAGATAGAATGCTGCGCAGAGGTATCCGAATACTTGGCCCAGGGAGTCGAGAGTCAGCGCGGGATGCTCGGGCTGTCGCTTACTGCGTGATGTAGCACGCATGCTGACGTACCAGCCGAGTATACCGGCGGCGCAGACGAGTGCAATGGCAAAAGAGTTCCACACCAGCTTTTGGATTGTAGTTGTAGGTTTCGAGATGGCGCGAACGGATGGTTTAGAAGGTTCAATGAGCGGCATTGCGGGAGAAAGATGAGTGCTGTCGACCAGCCCTAAACGTTCGGAAATCGAGGAGAGAGAAGCTATAGATGTGCGGCGATCGACAGGATGGCGCTGTGGCTGCTGAGGGCCATGGTGTGTGGTATGAGGTGGGAGGAGTGCTGTTCGTTCCGTCTGAATTGGCGACAGTGGGCGTTGTTGCTCCTGCGCCTGGCCGTTTCCCGATGATGCGCCTTGAGTGGATTTCAGGCTGTGATCTGATAGCGTGAAGCCCCGGTAGTAGAAACACTGAGCCAATAAAACAATGTCGGCGAGCGTATAGTAAACCGCAAGGATGATCATAGTCGGGAGCACTCCCTGAAGGACTGCACCAAGGATGTTAAAGACATCCCCAGCCAGCCAGATGACGAGGAATAAAAGTGAGAGCCCATCGGCGGATCCACGACGGAAGTTTTCTATGATCTGAGGAGAGAATACGACGACCCAACAAGCGATTGAGATGGAGCTAGAGAATATTCAGTTAGGGAGCTTTGTTTAAAGATATGGCGCCAATCCAACAAATATTTCAAGGAGGTAAGAAGAAATACCCGCAGATACCGCTAAGCGCTTCGAGATTCAGCTGAGCCGCGGGACTTGGAGGGAACATTGCGCCCTTCCAAGACTTCCTGCCAGCCAATGGCGCTTGACAATCTCGCAGTCACAATGCAATGAACTAATCCGTCAATTCTAAATGTTGAGCTATATTTGACAAGTCATAACATATAGAGCGCTGAGTAACAGGGTAAATGCTACACCAAAGCCCAAAACTGCGTTGACTGAATGGTGAGATTGGATACAGAGTACGGAGTAGAGTTTGGAAAAGAAACCCCATAGTCACGTGATATTAAGCTATTGGGATTTAAGGTTTTAGGTTTATGCAAAGGATCCGCAAAGTGTAATTATGACGTAACTAAGAAACCCAGGCATCATGTCCTGTCGATCGCAGCTTTTTTGTCTGAACTTTACAAACCCCAAGTTGCGTAGTTATTCACCGTGCGGAATGGCATTGCTTTCTTCACTCTATGAAATAGACACACATGAATGGAATAGAAAGAACTAAAACAAGTGCCAGGCACTTTTCACTGCACATCATCATGGGCTGTTGATGAGGCTATGTCTTTCCATTCATCCAAAAGTGCCAAGGTTTCCCTGCATTTCATCCCAACACACTGAATCATGTCCGAGCCAAGTGGCAGCCGAATAGGAATATCACGACCGGATGCCGTCCCGCTCTGAGTCAAGACATCAATAATGACGCTGCAGCCTTTGGCCACATTTCCAAGTTGCTTGTTATTAACCTTGTCAAGATGATCTGCAGTCTCGTGGGCCGCAGTTCCGTCGTAATGGGCAAGGCGATTCATCGGTCGATTTCGATTGCCCAGCTGCAATAAATTGGATCTAAAGTATCCTGGTTCTATTGCTGTCACAGTGATGCCGAAAGGGGCCAATTCGTGAGTCAAGGCCTCTGAGATGCAAGACAATGCCGCCTTGGTAGCGGCATAAACTCCACAACCCGGAATTCCAATCCATCCCGCCATACTCGATACATTTGCTATTATTCCGCTTCGCTGCTGTCGCATGTAGGGGCCGACAGCTCGAACAACGTTTAACGCACCAAAGACATTGGTGTTGAAACATGAAAGGACCTCTTCGGGACTTATTATACTCTGTTAGCTAGGTCCCTGGGAATTTGGGAATGTTTGTGAGTGATAGCCTGGGCATACCTTAACTCCTCAACGGCACCTTCTTGAACGAATGCTGCATTGTTGACCAGGATATCTAATCTTCCGTATATATCGTGGGCGGCTTTGACTGTTTCTTCGATGGTTTTGAAACCCGCTGAGACGTCGAGGTCGAGAACCTCGGCACCAGCATCCCTCAGCGCAGCGATTCTGGAAACATTGCGTGCAGTAGCAATGACCTTATCGCCTCGTTCTAGGACCTGAATAGCAATCTCTTTCCCGAAGCCGGACGAACAGCCAGTAATCAACCACACACGGGGCGCCATGTTTGCAATTGGATATACGGGCGGTATGATCACGTAGGCAATGCTAGGTATTCTAGAGCTTTTCCAGCGGAAGATGGTCCCTTGAAGTAGGAGGTATTAATGCGATGAGATGAGATACGTTCATTTGGACGCTGGAAATCACACTGGTTTATATATCTCACTGACATGCTGCAATCTTTGCTTGAACCAGCGAGCGTAGCCTTCGGGGTTAAGCATTATTAATGCGATAAAAGCCCGATATCCGGCTTAAGTCCGTGAAGGTGGTCAAAATTCCTGGTCACATTCGTAGGCAACATGGGACAATGCAAGCACAAGGGTAGATTGCCATCACAATTGCTCTTGTGTGACTCAACCAACAATCAAGCTAAAGGTTGGCATGAGTCATCTAACTGACAACACAACAACCCTGTGTTTATAGATATGGTCTGAGGGGGCTTTAATACATACAGAATAAACTATGAGTGTAGAAATTACTGTTTCAAACCACAAAGAACTCTTCTTTTTACTTCATGTAAATAGGGGTATCAGGACAACAAAAATGCACTGTAATTGCCATTCCTCAGACGTCGGTGAAGGGTGCATACTCTACAAGCCTGGTTGCTTGGCTAACCAGGCTTCATGTTCCCTCTTCTGCCTCTCCCACTCCTTTTTCAGCTTCTTATATCTGTTCTTATTCAGATCCTCTCCTGCAGCATCCTTGAGCGGGATGCCATTTTCATCCCACGCGCTATATTCGTTTGTCCGGAACATAAGCAAATGGCTAAGTCTACCCCTCTCCGCCCTTTCTCTAGCTTCTTTCTCTCTAGCCTCTCTCTCTAACTGCTTCTTTCTTGCGCGGGCCACTTTCTCCTCCCTCGCTGCCATTAGCTCTCTCGAGACCGTTCGAACGAGCGCTGGCTTCTCATGTCTATCCTCAAGATATACTCCAAGATCAAAAAGATCGACATCCCGCAAACGATCGCACAGAGCCAAAATTTCTTTAGAGACGGTGTCTGTCTGTTCAAATGATTCGAGTTTGGTGCAAAAATCGCTTAGCACCCTCTCGTATGGCTTGGCCTCCTCGGAAGGGTTTGGATTCTGCTTCAAAGCTTCTTGTCCCGTCCGCGCAACTGACTTGATAGTGTCCACGGAGAAGCCGGATTTGCTTCGAGCTTTCTCCCGAAGAACGTCTCTCATGGCTGACAAAGGATAAAGGAAAGCTTTGGCGGCTTCTGGAACTTCAATACCAGACCAACCGATCTCTTCTGAAGCTGGCGTAGCCGAGCCGTTTAGACCAAATATATTAACCATGCTAGTAACCCATTTAGCAACGTCTTGGACGTCTTGAGCATTTAGTTTTGACTTATCGGCGCTGTTATACTGCGTAACAAGCCCCGAAATTGCTATCATGGCGCCAGCAGTGTTAAACGAGTCGCACAAGCTGTCATGCACGGCTTTCTGCGCAGATTTCAATTGAAGCGCCAAAGCGTCGTCTGTTGACGATGATAGCTCGTTCTCGGCCGCCAAGTTTCTTACGCTGAGGAAGAAATTATTCAACTTCTCCTCCCAAGCATTTCCTGCCTTTACGAGGTCCTCTGTGATCTCAATTCCGTCTGCCCAATTTCCCATTAAAAACACAATGCGAAGACTTCTGGGAGTCCAGTCTCCCCTTTCGAGGGCCTCGCGAATGGTGGTGAAGTTCTTGAGAGATTTCGACATTTTGGAACCTTGAATGGACAGGTGGCCCATGTGAAGGAAGTAGTTAACCCACTGATCGTGACTACATCCTTTGTGCCAGTAAGCCTCACTCTGCGCCAACTCATTGTCGTGGTGAGGAAATGCCAAGTCAATGCCACCGGAGTGAATATCCATCTGTTTTCCAAGTCTGGCAGATGCCATAGCAGAGCACTCTATATGCCATCCGGGACGACCTAGTCCCCAAGGGCTTGGCCAACTCGGTTCGCCAGCCTTGGATGCCTTCCAGAGGGCAAAATCTGCTTTCGATCGCTTCTCCACTGTTTTGTTGATTAAAGCACCTTCTCCGTCAGCCTGGAGTGCAGTATCATTCCTATTCCATGGTTCCAGGCGGGCATACTGATTCCCCGCGGCTTCGAATGCAGCAATATCGAAGTAGACGGATCCGTCGGCAGTGGCATAGGCAAATCCGTGTTGGACTATTTGTTCCACGAAACTGACGATCTCGGGGATGAATTCGGTTACTCTGGTGACTTCATCCGCATCCAGGATATTTAAAGCTCGAGCATCCTCCATGAACCGGTCCTCAAACCTTTGGCTTAGCTGTGTAAATATCGAGTAATCCTCGCCGCGAATAGACGGTCCTTTTAGGTTGTCCAGATATGGCAGCACAACGTCTTGCGCTAAGTCATAGAATGTCTCGCTTAGAATTGCATTCGGATCAGAAATGATATCGGATAGTGCCTTGGCTGCCGAAGTCGCGGTCCTTATGTGCATCTTGATCTTAGCTTCCGCATCTCCCGGCTTGCCAGTTCCACCGAGAGCTCCACCGTTCAGCACAAATCCATATTTGATTTCAACCGCCTCAGGGAACGCTTTCGGTGTCGGGACGTGCTCCAGCAAGGGCAGGTTCTTTCTCACGTAGCTCTCGTAGGCGGATGTGATAGTTTCGACGACGGAATCATCGATGGTAGGATGGGAAGTGACATATTCCATAAACAAATGCTGCTGTCTGGCTCTTGTGATAATCTATTGCCAATCAGCTATGACTCCTCTCCTACAAGAAACTGGTGAAAGTATCAAGAGTTTTTTGTACCTTGTCGTCCACATCGGTAATATTCATAATAAACTTAACGTCGAACTTGAAGTAATCACGCAACAGTCTTCGAAGTATGTCTGTGCTCACATAGTTGCGCGCATGTCCCAGGTGGGCGTCATCGTATACCGTCGGCCCGCAAGCATACCACGTTACCTTGTTGCCGGTGGGATCGAGGGGAACGAACGGGACCTTGGATCGAGTCAACGAGTTCCATAGCTTCAACGGTGGCAGCTTTGAGGCCGACTCGGGGCTGGGAGAGGGTTGCTTCCACGGCGGTTGCTCACGCGCGGCGGCCATAGCGGGGAAAATGCTGAAGGATCTCACGAGGGCGGGGCGGAAACTCGACAGAAGCTCGTGCTTGGGGCTCAGCGAGGAGAGGGTGCGACGGAAGAGGAGCATATATAGACGGGGGGAGAGCAAGACCGCGGGATTTAGGGGCGGCTATGAAGGAAGCGAATGAGTCACTCTTGGACTGCGAGGAAAAGCTAGGTTACAGAGTGGAATCGGCGGCGTTTTTTGTAGATTTCTTTTTTGCTGCTCGCGGGAGGATGTGGCACTAAGCCGCGCGCGGTGGAGGAAATTTTGGTTGCTTTTTTTTTGGCGGGGATTCGAAGCAGCCTCTCGCCGGCGCAGCCTGGAAAGCTTTGCAGAAAATTTCCTCCTCAGCCAGGCGAGAACCCACGAATGGGAAGCATCTGACGAGTGAGCGGCCAGTGTCATCGCTGACACAATGGTTTCCCCGTTTCTGTCCTCCGAGCCCATCGCCGAAGAAGGGTCGCTGGCCATCCTCCATCTCCGTCGCAATCTTCTCACGCCCACAATCCTGAGCACACACGACGATGAGAACCTGGGCTACAAAGAAGGAAAAGTGACGAACACGCGATACGGTTCCTTCCCACACAGCACGTTAATAAACAAGCCATGGGGATCCCAGATCATCGCCTCCAAAGTTGACACCGGTTCGAGAGGCCGAAAGCCCAAGTATGGAAACGGGGCGAAATCGTTGAAAAGAAAGGCGGACGAACTCGACGTTTCAGAAGCCAACGAAGAGTCGAGGACGACAGAAGCCATTGCCACCACCAGCGGGTTTATTCACCTATTGCGACCTACGCCTGAATCGTGGACGTCCTCGCTCCCGCATCGAACGCAAGTCGTGTATACGGCAGACTACAGCTACATCCTTCATCGCCTTCGAGTACGCCCTGGTAGCTCTATCATAGAAGCAGGTGCCGGAAGCGGATCTTTCACCCATGCAGCCGCCAGAGCGGTCTTCAACGGGTATCCGTCTGACAGCAACAACCCGAAAAGACGGCGATTGGGGCAAGTCTCCAGCTTTGAATTTCACAAGACTCGAGTGCAGAAAGTCCGCGACGAGATCAGAGGCCATGGTCTAGAAGGGATCGTTCGCGTAAATCACCGAGATGTATATAAGGACGGTTTCCTATTGGGCCCACCGTGGAATGGCGAATCGCCCAAAGCAAACGCTATCTTTCTCGACCTTCCAGCTCCATGGCTGGCACTCAAACACCTAGTGCGCAACCCTTCAGACGGCTCCGAATCGCCTTTGGATCCCTCCTCCCCCGTACATATATGTACATTTTCTCCGTGCCTTGAACAGGTCCAGCAAACGATCAGCGCCCTGAGACAGCACTCCTGGCTCTCCATATCCATGGTTGAAGTCATGCACCGCAACATCGAAGTGCGAAGAGAAATTCACAGTGTCGAATGCGATGGAGGAACCCGCGGTTCTGTTCCAGGTCCAAGAAACGTCGAAGAAGCGCTTTCTAAGCTCCGAGCGGAAGAGCAAGCCAAAGCGCTTCGTGAAATGATACGAGAAAGCCAAATCCCCAGCGAAACAGACAGCAGCAACCGGCCTAAAGGCGAAAAAGACACGAGCGCCCCAGACAGCGCAGCAGCGCAAACGAAGTCCGCCACCCCAGTGTCCATGCTTCAAACCCAGCCTGAACAAGTGAAGCCCTCGATACCTTCCTTCAAACAGGGGAAAGTCATCCATCGTTCCGAGTCCGAGCTTAAAACGCACACATCCTACCTTGTCTTTGCTGTTCTACCCTGCGCTTGGTCAGAGGAAGACGAGCGAAAATGTCGAGAGAAATGGCCATCAGCCAAGGTTGATCCTCCAAAGCCGACTGGAAAAAGGAGTAAAAAGCAAATGAAGCGTGAGGCTAGGGCCAAAGAGGCAGAAGCAGAAATGGTCAAGATGCAAAGTGATACCGAGCCTGAGCCCGCGGGTAAATGAATTATTCTTTATTATGCTTGCAGCCCACTTGTACCATACCATCTTTTATAAGCTGGAGGGTTAAATCTGGGCCAGCCACATATGGGATGTCATATGTATCATCTAAGTCTAAAAATATAACGGTAGAAGCAAAAGCATGTCATGTGTATCGGGTATCCTCATAATCCGTTCTCCTGCTTAAATTTATCCCACGCTTCATTCAAGGCGCTAAACACAGCTCCAGCAATCATCCTCTGCTCGGTGGTCGCATTCACTGGAATCTATTCAATGAATTAGCATATATCTCTGCTTGTTCCAGCAAAGAGATTGCAAGGATGTCGACTAGCCACTGACCTTATCAGGATGTACCTTTGCAATACCTTTCATGTAATGAATTTTCACTTTGGTCGGCAGTACCAACTCTGCCATACTGATCTTCTTCCATCCGGCCTCCGCCCACAAAATTGTATCTAAACTTGCCAGTAAAGCGCGTAAGTTATCCTGCTTTCCACCCTTCCAAGAAGTAAGCCGTGCATCCACAGAATCTGCAAGAGCAAATCTCTCATTGTCTAAACGATCGGCAGCTTCGTTCGCCGCTCGAAGTCGACTGACGGCTTCCGCTGGCTTCGCCGGAACTGCAGGTTGCGACCTAATAGCAGGTTTTGAAGCCCTGTTAGGCGTGGTTCGCGGCGGAGCACATGCCGACGGGATCGACTTTGGAATGGGAGCCGGGATAGATCGAATACCCGCTGCTTTTTCGCATCGAGTTCGTCCCTGGATACTTGCACTACCACCGTGACCAGATTCAACGGTCTCTTGCCAGATTTTGGCCGCATCAGTCCATTTTTCTAGCTGCTCCAGAGCTTCCGCTTTTCGCATCATTGCCTTCCCAAAAAATTCCCTCATCTCTTTCATCGGCTCTCCATTTCCTAAGTCAATCTGCTCTAACTCCCCTTTGCTAGGGCCGATTATGGATAATGCACGATCTGCATCGCTGATCGCCGTCTTTGGCTCGCCTATCTTTAGAGCAGTGAGAGCATGATTGGTAAGAAGGATAATAGTAACGGGATGGTTGCTTGGTAACAGTGAGATTGCCGTGGAGTATGCTGCATGGGCAGCAGCGTAATCGCCTCGCTTGAACGCTGCTGTACCGTCCTGGCGGTGTTTATGCGAAGACAGCAGCGCTGACGTCGAGACTGAAGGAATTTGCCGTGGGGGTGGTTTGGGTCGCGGAGCAACTGGTGGCGAAGGGGTGGCACCTGTTGGCCGTTGTGATTGAGAAAGCGGCGATTGATGGGCTGGACGACCTGGCTGAGGTGGTCTATGTGATCCCCCCAAGAGATCGGGCTCTACTTCTGAATAGGATTGCGGCGGGGGTTTTCTTCTTCTTGCTGGGCTGATGTATGCCTGAGAAGCTTGTTCTTCAGAAGTCAAACGGGATAGTCGGGTGCGAGTATCATTCACAGCTGTATTTCTAACATCCTGCTGCAGCTGACGCGGATGTGGTGATGGCTGTCGAGAGGGAGAGAATCCTTGAATACGCCTGTGGGAGGTTATATGAGGACGCGGTTGCGGGCTTCTACTTGGCGGCGCTCTTTGCATTTCCAACATCAGCGCCTCGTCTGTAACGCTCGTCATGGTTGCTGAGGTTGGGCTCCTTTGCTGTCTTACTTCGATTGTTTGACTCCGAAATTCCAACGCCTCCTCTCTCATCCACCTTGGCTGGCTTGGATCAGGATTCGAATTGAATTCTTGGACAGCTTGCTGTACTTTTTTCGTCCCGCTTTTCCATAACGAATTGGCAGACTTAAATAAATTACTCCCAAACTCTGCTGCTAATTGGGCAGCATCTTTCTCCGCAGCTTGTCTCCTAATTCTGCTTGTCTCTTCAAAATGGTGCTGGTCACGCACGCGTGTAGGCAAACTAGAGTCTCGATGATCTTCGGCAAAAGTTTCGCGATGTCGATCCGGAGCTCGCCCCGAGCGCGGTTGTGCCTGCGCACTTTGACTTCTGCCTCTAGCTTTTTCCCGTGCTTCAGCATGGGCCTGGTTGAGCAGCCAGCTGACAGCTGCCTGAACATCAGTACCAGATTCAGTTGTTGATAAAGCCTGGCTGGCCTTTTCGATGGGGAATCCCATATCCACCAGCTCCGCAATAGCCCTGTCAACAGGAGTTGTGCGAGGTGGAGAATCGTTCCTATCATGTAACATGAGCGTCCCATTTCCCGGCTCATTATTTGAATTTTCCGGAACAGGTTTAGCAAACTCCGACACCGGCTTAGCAAGGGGACCAAGAATATCATCGTCATCATCATTTTGCTGCGGCGTTGTTCTAGGTTGGGGTTGCCTTTCGCTCATCTGGCCCAAGCCAAATGGGTCATCATCTTCCAGAACAAGGTCACTGCCGGCGTCGCCTGAGAACTGTAAAGCGGCGTTTGGAGCAGGAGAGGATGTTGAACTTGGAACTGGGAAATTGGTTGATTTATCCACAGGAGCCGACGCATTGAATGCGGCGAGAATATCATCTTCATCGTCTTTTACACCTGGGCCCTGGCGTGGCAAGTCGCCTCCAGGCAGCGGCTGGCCAGAGACGCCAGAGGAAGGCCTTGCCAACCCTGATGACAAGCCCTTTGATAATCCAGACTGCCCCAAGCTATCCCAAAACTGTTCGTTGCTTCCTCCATATTGCGCCTCCAGTTGTGCCCGCTTCTTTTGCTCCTCCAACGCTTTCTGCTCCGCAAGTTGTCGTTGCCGTTCGGCTAGAGAAATATTTTTCCCCGACGCACCGACCCCAAAGCTTACCAAGCTGGCAAAGCTATCCTTTGGGGGAGCAGATGGTTTGGAGGGCGAGCCTGGGCGCATTGCCAGCCCGGAGAGAGGGGTAGAGAGAGCTGAAATAGGGGGCGTAGGACGCGAGATGGGGAGATGGGCATTCGAGGCCATCGGCGGAGGTCTCCTGGGCCCAGAATTGCCATTGTCTGTCCACTTAAGGCCCGATAGGTCGTCCATAACCGTTCAAATAAAATGACTGCTCGGGAGGTTCTGCTCGACGTTCGCGCGGCACAAAGTGAACACCCTAGAGACAAGGTCTGGAAATCAAGGCTTGCCGAATAGCTGCATTGCTTCACCCGGCAACAACCAGACAAAGAGAAAACAAAAATTCGCTTTTTGAACCAAGTTAGATTAAGACACAACAACATGCGATTGTCACAAGTGCCAGCAAACACCATGTGCGTGCCGCATGTTCCCTTCAAAAGTTC